CTGCCTCGTCAGGTGTGTCTCACGCTACCCCTCTACCCTCGGTCGCGTGTCAGGAAGCGTCTCCCTCCCCGCAGTCCTCCTCACAGTCCCCTCAGCAGCCTGCGGCACTTCTGCGACAGGTTACTGTGGACTCGGTTGGTGTTGGAGCTGGAGCTGCAGCCACTAGCGGTACTCGGTCTGGGGGTGCTCGTTCGAGGGGTGCTGGAGTTGGAGGTGCTGGCGCAGGTGGCGCTAGCCCCTGGGGGTGCCGGAGCTGGAGGTCCTAGCACTGGAGGTGCTAGTTGTGGGGGTGCTGGAGCTAGAGGTGCTGGCACTGGAGGTGCTAGTTCTAGGGGTGCTGGAGCTGGAGGTGCTGGCATGGGAGGTGCTAGTTCTGGGGTTGCTGGAGTTGGAGGTCTTGGCACTGGGGGTGCTAGGACAGGGGGCGCTGGAGCTGGGGACCCTGACCCTGTTGGTACCCCTTCTGGGGACACTGGTAATGGGGGTGCTAGTTCTGAGGCGACTGGAGCTGGGGGCACTACGTCTGCGGAGAGCACTCCACCTCCCCACCACCACGACACGCGTTACCAGGCGACCTGCCGGCGTGCGCGCGAGGAGCAGGAGCGGTTGGAGAGGGAGCGGCAGGAGTTGCGGCAGTTGGACCTGCTGGAGCAGCAGCGGCAGCAGCAGCGGCAGTCGCAGCCACAGCAGCAGCAGCAGCAGCCGCCGCCGCCACCGCAGCCGCAGCAGCTCCCTCTGGAGCGGCAGTTGTTCCCGCCCGTCAGTGGCCTCCGGGCCCTTGGTTATCCCTCCTCTCCTCCTGTCCGCTCTCCGTCTCCTCCTGCGTTTGGTCCTACGTTTTCTCCTCTCGACGCCCGTCCGGCAGTCTGGTCTTCTCCTCCACCGAAGTCTCCTCCTCTTGTTGTCTGTCACTACTTTTCCCGTCCTTGTCCTCCGAGTGGTCGTCCCTCGTCCCCCGTTACCGACCTCCACACTGCCCTACTTTGTACCTCTCTTCGTCGTTCTCCTCCTCCGGTATCAGTTCTCCCGCCTCCTCCTCCGTTGTCTCTTCCTGTCTCCCCTACTCCTATCTCCGACTACTACCGTGCTATTCGCCATGTTGTCTCCCGCGTTCTAGCCACTAGTGTCACCGACCCTCGTTTCTCTCCGTCGTCTGTCTCGGCTCTCACTGCCGCTGTCGCTGACTTTGCCGCCGCCAGCCGCCTTGACTACAGCACTCGTGTGGTGCCCGCTCTGCCTACCCGTCCCCTGTCCGTCGGGGGTGAGTTTGCCCTTGGCTGAGACGTCCTAGAGGACAGGCACTCTGAGCTGGAGTACCTGGCAGTCGCTTCTCCCACTCTTTCTGCCATGCTGCTTTCCCCTGAGGGAGACCCAGACGCCCTTGACATACCGACTCCTCGCACGTACCATGAGGCAGTGTCAGGGCCGTGGGCCTCTCAGTGGAAGGCGGCCATGGACTCAGATTTGGCGTCTTGGAGATCCACAGGCACGTACGTCGACGCAGTTCCCCTTCCCCGGGCGAATGTAGTCGATGGCATGTGGCTTCAAGGTGAAGCGGCCGCCTGGATCACCCCCGTTGTGCCAGGCGCGCTATGTGGCGAGAGGCTTCAGTCAGCGCGAGGGAGTTGACTTCTTTCAGACCTTTGCTCCAACCCCGAAGATGACTAAACTTCGGGTGTTACTACACGTAGCAGCACAGCGTGGCTACGAGCTCCACTCTCTCGACTTCTCCACTGCTTTTCTCCAGGGACGACTGCACGGGGAGATCTGGCTACGCCGTCCTCTCGGTTTCACTGGTACTTTCCCTCGTGGGACCTAGTGGAGCCTGAGGCGACCAGATTACGGTCTCCGCCAGTCGCCCCATGAGTGGCACGACACCCTTCGCTCCACGCTTCGTGACCTAGGGTTTCGCCCTTCCTCTGCTGACCCGTCACTGTTTGTTCGTGCCGGCTCCACTCCTTTCTTTATTCTCGTCTACGTCGACGACTTGGTCTTTGCTACACCAGACAGGGCAGCTCTGGCTGAGGTGAATTCCGAACTGAAGAAGAGACACACGTGCACTGACCTTGGTGAACTGCAGTGCTACCTTGGCCTGCAGATCACCAGGGAAAGAGCCGCTCGCACCATCACGTTGACGCAGTCACACATGGTGCAGCAGGTCCTTCAGCGGTTCGGGCTTCAGCACTCCACCACACAGCCCACTCCTCTTGCTGTAAACCACAAACTCACCGGCCCCTTCCCCGACGAGCCCTTTGAGCCCAGTGGTCCCTACCCAGAGCTTGTTGGCTGCCTCATGTACCTGATGACATGTACTCGCCCGGACCTCGCCTACCCTCTTAGTGTCTTCTCTCGCTTTGTTGGGCCCGGGAGGCACCGTCCTGTTCACTGGACGGCTGCCGTGAGGGTGGCGAAGTACCTGGCGACTACATCAGGCATGGGGCTTATGCTTGGAGGGACTCGGCCAGTTGAGCTGACTGGCCTCTGTGACTGAGACTCAGCGCTCGACCCAGGGTTACTATTTTAGTCTGGGAGCTGGGGCTGTGTCGTGGAGGTCCACACGGTCGTCGTCGGTGGCTTCGTCCAGTGCAGAGGCAGGGATCTACGCCGGGGCTATGGCTGCTCAGGAGCTTCGCTGGTTGACCTTCTTGCTCGCTGACCTTGGTGAGCGACCTCGCACTGCTCCGACCTTGTTCGCTGACAACAAGGCCATGATTCTCTTGTGTCGCGAGCCTCGACTGGAGACCAAGGTGAAGCACATTGACGTCCGGTACTTCCTCCTGCGCGAGCTACAGTTAGGGCTTGTTGAGGCAGGTCCTCGGTTGCTGTAGACTTGTTGCTTGTTCTACTTGTTGTACTTTGCTATTATATATCCTAGTGAACTCTTGAACTGGCCTTGTGACCGCTTGCTTGTGCTCGGAATTTGTGTGGTGTCTTTGAGATCCACCCTGAGCTTGTTTTGCTTCTTGCATTGACTGGTCTTGTGACCCTTTGTTCACCCTGCTTGCTTTGATGCCCCTCACCTAGCCTATGGGAGTGTGTCAAATGTTGATATTTGTGATAGGCTGTAGTGAGGTGCTCCTTAGTGAGTACAACTCAGTTAGGGTTTGCGATTTGCATCACCGACATTCCTAAACTCATCATTCCGTTGCATTCTTACATTGAGAATACATTAGCATCAGCTCATAGTGCTGTTTCATTCCCTAATGCTGCTCTTGTCCGCAGGCTTCACACACAATAACCTCGTACGGTAGCTTTGCCAGGATTCTCCTTAATGCTGCTACTGTACTGCTTTTCCTGCTGTTGTTTTTGCTGCATCTGTTGCTCCTGTTGCTCCCCCAGCTGCTTCTCTGTTTCTCCAACCTGCACCAATGATGCTGCATTTCTTGCTGCTGCTGGTGCTGCGGGTGCTGGTGCTGCTGGTGCAGCTGCTGCTTCTGCTGCTGTTGCTCCTGCTGCTCCTTCTGTTGTTTCTTCTGCCTCTGCTGCTGCTCCATACACCCAAGCCCCACAAGCAGTAACTACGCTGCACCATACTCTACCGTTCTGAACCTTTAGTCATCTCTTTGCTTCGCTTGTCATGCTTCTCTGCTGCTTCTCATTCGGCCCCTGCTCCAAACATCCACAACCCACAAGCAGCAACCGCACTGCACGGCACACCACCGTTCCAAACCAGCTTGAAATCACCTCTTGGCTTCACATGACTTTTTTCTCTGCTGCTCCTGTTCCCTTTGCTGCTTCTGCTGCTTCTGCTGCTTCTGCTGCTTCTGCCTTTGCTGTTCCCGTTGCTGCCGCTGATTCCAATCTGCTGCTTCTGCTGCTTCCGTTGATGCCGCTGTTTCTGTTTCTTCTGCCTCTGTTGCTTTCGCTGCTTCTCCTCTTCCTGTTGTTGCTTCAGATTCCGCTGCTGCTACACCCATCCACACCGCACAAGCAGCGACCGCACAAGCATTGTTGATCCATCTGAACCACTTTTGAGAACTCTCATTAGGGGATTCTCAGACAGAAGAAAATTAATCAGCTGGTTTATTTTAGAAGAAGGATTCTCGGAAGATAACTCACCATAGAAATTTCTCAAAAGAGGATTTTCATAGGCGACCTCAGGATCACCGCCTAGATTTGGTAGTCTTCCCTTTCAACTGCTGCTGCTTTTGCTGCTGCTGCTGCTGCTCCACATATCCGCACTCTACCAATAACAATCTCGCAGCGTTGTTGATGTGCCTGAACCGATCTGGACCCAGTAGAATTCCTCCGAACCACCTTGAAACCACAACCACCTGGCAGAACGGAAGGAGAAAAATGATGTTCTCTTAGACCATCAAACGGTTAAGCCGTTTGCTTTTTTGCACTTTTGAGGCGCCTCAAAAGCTGTTTGCTGTTTTGCATCTGTACGCGCGCGCGCGCACGTGAGTGTGTGTGTGCGAGATGTTTGTGTGTGTGTGTGTGTCACATGTGTGTGTGTGTGTGTGTGTATGTGTGTGTGTGTGTATGTGTGTGTGTGTGTGTGTCACAGCCCTCAAATTACCATCCTTCTCTCACCCTTCCACTCACCACATTAGCCTCCACCACAATCTGCAGCAAAAACTCCACCATCCTCCACCATCCCTCACCACCCCTCACCACCCCTCACTCACTACATTAGCCACCCCCAAAATCTGCAGCAGATGCATCAAACTGCCCCCTGCTGCTGCCTCCCCCCAAATGGACTGTTACGTTGGCTCAAAAGAAGGAAATCTCCGCCACTCTTTATTACCCCTCACCATGCCTCACCACCGCTCACCACCACTCCCCACCACACTTCCACTCACCACATCAGCCACCCCCAAAATCTGCAGCAGATGCATCAAACTGCCCCCTGCTGCTGCCTCCCCCACCAGGTGGCTTTCAGTCAACTGGAAAACTGGAAATTTCCACCACTCCTCACCACCCTTCACCACACCTTACCACACCTTACTCCTCACCACCCCCTCTCCACTCCCCACAACAGTCCACCCGTCACTCACCACATTGGCCGCCCCCACAATCTGCAGCAGATGCATCAACCTGCCGCCTGCTGCTGCCTCCCCGTCGTCGTCATTGTCTTGAACGACCTGCTGAGAGGGGTCAGAGGGAGTAAGGAGGAGTAAGAGGGGGTAAGGGAAGGTAACAAGGAGCACCCAGGTTTGCCCCACACCACTGTCTACCTGCCCCCTGCTGCTGCCTCCCCATCATCATCATTGTCTTGAACGACCTGCAAAGAGGGGTCAGAGGGAGTAAGGAGGAGTACGAAGGATTAAGGAGTAAGAGGGAGTAAGAGGGAGTAAGAGGGAGTAAGTAGGAGTAAGCAGCCCCATTCGCCCCACCCACTAGCAGCCTGCCCCCTGCTGCTGCCTCCCCATCATCATCGTTGTCCTGATGACCTGCTGGGAGGGAGGCACGGAGGGAGTAAGGAGTAAGAATGAGTAAGGAGGAGTACGAAGGAGTGAGAAGGCCATTCGCCCCACCTACTAGCAACCTGCCCCCTGCTGCTGCCTCGCCATCATCATCGTTGTCCTCAATGACCTGCTGGGAGGGGTCAGAGGGAGTAAGAGGGAGTAAGAGGGAGTAAGTAGGAATAAGCAGCCCCATTCGCCCCACCCACTAGCAACCTGTCCCCTGCTGCTGCCTCCCCATCATCGCCATTGTCCCGAATGACCTGCTGGGAGGGGGAAAGGGTGAGCAAGAGGGGTACGAAGGAGTAAAGAGGAGTTAGCAGCCCCATACAGCCCACCCACTCTCTGCCTGCCCCATACTGCTGCTTCCCCATCGTCGTCGTTCTCTTGAATGACCTGCTGAGAGGGGATAAGAGGGAGTAAGAGTGAGCAAGGGGGGGTGAAATGGAGTACGCTTGTTTGCCCCACACCACTAGCGACCTGCCCCATACTGCTGCTGCCTCCCCATCGTCGTCGTTCTCATGAATAACCTGCTGGGAGCAACAAGGAGGAACAAACAGAGTCAAATCAAACAGAGGCTAGTGACTCTCCTGCAGGATTTCCGAGTTGACTTTTGAGTCGACTCAAAAGTCAAGGAGGAACAAACAGAGTCAAGTCAAACAGAGGCTAGTGACTCTCCTGCAGGATTTCCCCTTCGCCTCACTCCCTATCACCCTGCTCCCTGCTGCTGCCTCCCCATCGTCGTCATTGCCCTGAATGACCTGCTGGGGGGGATAAGAGGGAGTAAGAGGGAGGAAGAGGGCGTGAGAGGGAGTGAGAGGGCGTGAGAGGGAGTGAGAGGGAGTGAGAGGGAGTGAGAGGGAGTGAGAGGGAGTGAGAGGGAGTGAGAGGGCCATTATCTAAATGACCCGATAGGCCATGCTGCTGTGATGGTGGCTCTTGAGAATCCTAAAGATCCCTCCCCCTCCCCCTCCCCCTCCCCCTCCCCCTCCCCCTCCCCCTCGCCCTCCCCCTCCCCCTCCCCCTCCCCCTCCCCCTCCCCCTCCCCCTCCCCCTCCCTCCTCCCCTTCCCCCTCCCTTCCCCCAGCCCTCTCTTCCCCCCTTCCCCCCACCCCCTCCCCTCCCAAACGCACGGCACTCACAGTGCTGCCATTTGAGCCAGCTGTCACAATCCTATAGGCCATGATGCCATGCGCGGCTCTTGAGAATACTCAGAAGTAACACCCCCCTCTCCCTTTCCCCCCCTACCCTCCCCTCTCCCCCCATCCCCCACCCCCCTTTTCCCCAATGTCCCGCACTCACAGTGCTTCCATTTGCACCAGCTGTCACGATCCGATAGGCCATGATGTTGTGCGTGGCGCCTGCTATCTTGCGATTGGCCAAGAGGACGTCCATCACCGCTGCCACGTCAGCAGGCGAGCCCACAGGTGCCAGGTGGGCCTGGAAAGTACCTGGAAGGTGCGGTCATGGGGAAAGGAGGGCATGTGAGGCAGTGAACTTGATGTCCCACACTCCCACTCAATCACTCATACTCTCGCTCACTCACTCAATCACTCATACTCTTACTCACTCACTCAATCACTCATACTCTTACTCACTCACTCACTCACTCTCACTCACTCTCTCACTCACTCACTCACACATTCTCACTCACTCACTTCTCTTCTGAGCGAGTGGAACCGCATGCACAATGCCCAGCGCCCTCCCTACATCCCCCGCCTGTTGAGCTGAGGTGCTTCAAACGACACTATGCATGCACGATACCCAGCACCCTCTACCAGACGACTTGTGAAGGGAATCAACTCTAATGGTGCCACTCACTCACACTCACACTCACTCACTCACTTCTCTTCTCAGTGAAAGGAACGCCATGCACAATGCCAACAGCCCTCTCTATCTCCCCTGCCTCCTCCTCCCCACTCTCCCCCACCTTCCCCTCCTCCCCTCTTCTGCCTCCTCCTCTCCTTGCTGTTGCCTCTGCCGCCGCAGCTGCTTCCACTGCTGCACCTCTTTCTGTCTCCCCTGTTGCCTCCCTGCCCTCCCCTCTGCCGTTCTCCTCTCTCTCCGTCTCCTGCTGCTCTGCCAACACAGGAGCGTGCTGCCACACCCACTGCTGCTCCTGCACGCATGAGACGGATGGTAAGGAGTGGTTGGGAGTGGTTGGGAGTGGTTGGGAGAGATTGGGAGTGTTTGTGGGTGATTGGGCAGGTTCTCTCTCCTGTCTCTCCGTCTGCTGCTGCTCTGCCAACACCGGAGCGTGCTGCCACATCCACTGCTGCTCCTGCACACACGAGAGGGAGTGGGGAGGCATGGGGAGGCATGGGGACTGGGAGGGATGGGGAGAGGGAAGGGAGAAGGCAGGCAGGCGTGAGTGATGCCACACACACATGGGGACGTCTGCCTACAGGCAGGCAGGGACTGTGATGCATCGGATGCGGGGCTGAGCTGTGACTACTATATTGTTGAAAGGGGGTGTTGTGAATACTCCAAAAACGCGTCTGAGGCGCCTCCAAAGCATGGGATGGTGAGCTGAGCTGTGACTGTAATGCAGCCTACCTATTGTGACTGTAATGCGGTTTGGAAGGGTAATCGCGTACATTACCCACCTTAATCCATTCCACCCATTGGAAAATCACCACCTCTCCACTTCCCCTTCCCCTCCCCCTTCCCCTCCCCCTTCCCCTCCCCCTTCCCCTCCCCCTTCCCCTCCCCCTTCCCCTCCCCCTTCCCCTCCCCCTTCCCCTCCCCCTTCCCCTCCCCCTTCCCCTCCCCCTTCCCCTCCCCCTTCCCCTCCCCCTTCCCCTCCCCCTTCCCCTCCCCCTTCCCCTCCCCCTTCCCCTCCCCCTTCCCCTCCCCCTTCCCCTCCCCCTTCCCCTCCCCCTTCCCCTCCCCCTTCCCCTCCCCCTCCCCCTCCTCCTCCCCCTCCGCCTCCCCCTTCCCCCATCCTGTCCAGCTGGAAGCACAGCCTGCTTCTCTCTTCGTCCGGGAGCCAATCGCAGCGCGCCAGCTCAGCAACGGGGGCGGCGTGGGAGGGGTAGGCGGCCGGGAGGTGGACGAGGAGAGTGAAAGAGGGGGGTTGGTGGTGGGTGTGACTGTCCAGAGATGTGACTGAATCGGGGTGTTGGATGGTTATCTGTTTTGGGGAGGAAGGATGGAATGGGGGGAGACGGAATGGACAAGGCATGGAGGTGCAGGAGAAGGGTGAGGGAGGGGGAGGGGTAGTGGTGGGTGTGACTGCCCAAGGATGTGACTGAATCGGGGTGTTGAATGGTTATTTAATTGGGGGAAGGAGAGAAGGCAAGGGGGAAGAGAGAAGGGGACGGAGAAGAGAGAAGGGAAGGGGGAAGAGAGAAGGGAAGGGGGAAGGGGAAGGGGGAAGAGACAAGGTGGGGTGATTCACGAGGAGAGTGAGGAAGGTGAGGGGAAGGGGTGGGTGTGACTGTCTAAGAATGTGACTGAATCAAGTGTTGGATGGTTATCGATTGGTTAAGGGGATGAAACGGAGACAGGAGAGGAGAGTGAGTGAGAGGAGGGATGGAGAGTTGTCAGGAGGAGGGGGGCGGGGTTTAGGGGAGAAAAAGGGGAACGCGCAAGCAGGCAGCTGGCGACGAGCCGGGGACGGGTCGGGGACGGGTCGGGGCGAGTCGCAACGAATCAGGGCGAGTCGCGACCGGCGACGAATGCCGAAGGTGTTTTTGTTGTTTCCTTTTCTTTTTATTTTTTTGAATTTTAGAAAAAACGCGATGAGCCGGACCTGCGCGCGGCATTTAAGACTTTTGAGGCGCCTAAACAATCATGAGACGCCTAACAAAGATTTTCGAGGCGCCTAAAAATTACTCAAAAGACGTCTCAAAACGCGACGAGCCAGACCTCTCAGAACGAATGAGAATGCGGCATTCTCAGGGCATTAGCGGACGTTAGATCCGCGCGGATTCGATTTTTGAGAAATTTTACGCCGCTGAGCCACTCCAGTTCGTCAAGCGCGGCTCGGCTCGGCTCGGCTTGGCTTGGGTCGGCTCGGGTCGGTCAGCTCGGCTCGGCTTGGCTCGGCTCGGTTCGGCTCGGCTCGGCTAGGCTTGGCTCGGATCGGCATAGGACCGAGCTCACAGCGCTCGGCGACGGGCTCGGCTCTGCAGATGGCGCGCGAGCCGACGAGTCGAGCCGATAAGTTCGGAAATTTGAGATGCAGACGGTGATCCGCTAAGATTCGTCTCTGACGGCGTGCTCGCGACGCGTTATATTAGCGACGCGATCTGTTAGCGACGCGATCTGCTCACTCTGCAGCAGTGCTCGGCACTCGAGTACGAGAAGCAATCTGAACCGTAGATGGCCTCCAGTGCCTCCATTTCCTCCGCCTGCGCTTGCCGGTTCGCCTCCTCGTCCGCCATGGCTTTAAACCCGTGATCTACAGCCCGTGATCTACGGCCCGTGATCTAAGACCCGTGATCTACGACTGAGACTCCCGTGACGGATGACTAAAGACGTCTCCGACCTACTATGACTACTATGGTTACGGGTGTGCGTGGAGGAGTCTACAGGTGAATAGGCGATTCTGAGCAGCACCAATTAGGCGGCTCGAGAAATGGCTGCTAGAAGCATGTATCGAGGAAAATGGATGTGCCCCGCGCGCAGGGGAGCATGCGGGCCATGAGACTCATCGCCGACTCGCAAATTTTACGTTGTAGCGTAACGTTTCTTTTGTAACATAACATCAAGAAGCATAAAAAGCGAACGATCATATTACAACTTGATAAGAAGATAAATTTATTTAGAGAATGTTTAATTTTGAAAACTACATATATTTAAGGTGTTTTTTTATGTTTTTTATCTTATTATAATATATTATTACACATCTATGTATCAATAAGGTGTTCCCTAAATCTGAATGACGATATATTAAGATTGGAGATGCTCTAAATGATTCAGTTCACTCACAACAAAAGTGTCCTACCACTCCCTGTCAGTCCTCCGTTCGCTCGCAACCCAACCCAACGCCTCCGCGCCGCAATTCTCGCCGCCAGATTTATCCCCAACTCGGCAGGCTACGAACCAGGGGCGGTCTGGGCTCGCATTGGTAGCTCGTTCCTGCAACTCGCTCGTGTTAGCCATCAATTGGCCCTTTTAGAGGCGTGGCCATCAACCACGCGAATGTCATACTTCGCCTCTCACTCTCGCCTGATCGCGAGGTTGGCTATAGAGTCACTTCATATACTTGGCCCTGCCGGCCGCGCTTCCCGTTAGAATCACCCGAATGCTACCCATCGTCTCCCACTCCCGCATGATCGCACGCCAGCTCGTTCCCCTAAGAACCGTTCTCGAAGCGCGTCAAACATCCCTCACCTCTCATTCGCAATCCCATTTGATTGCTCGCCAGAGCATCTTCCCTCCTGTTACTCCTGTTACTCCTGTCGCTCCTAAAGCCATGCGTTTCCTGCTCGGAGCGCAGGTGTTACATCCTGATCAATGCTGCGCCCGCGCAGCGCATGTAGTGGTTAGTCCCTTGAAGGAGATTAATTCTCACATAGATCCTAGAGCCTTAGTCCAAAACTCTGTTTCGAATCGCGTTTTTCGAAGCAGCTGGGATAGAGGATACCAGTTCAGACAGATTTCCCGTAAATCACGAAAAGTTGTGCCACGTGGCACGGCTGCTAGTGAGATAACCCGAGCCGCTGCAAGATCCGCTATTAGTGAGGAGGCCACTGAGGCAGGCCCTGGAACGGTGACACGTCATCCCGACGTCAAACCACCCTTGGACACGTGTCAGGCGGTGGTTGGAGAGGGAGATTCGTCCGGTGGCGGGAAGATTCGGAAGCGGCGAGTGGCGCTTTGGGTGGGATACGTTGGGACGGAGTTCAAAGGTAAGGCTGGGGTTTTGGGGTTTGGGGTCCAAGAGGAAGAACCCAGAGAAAGGGTTTAGGGTTTGGGCTTACGAGAGGGCGACACCAAGTAATTTAGGTGTGGCGAAAGCGGCGGGTGGCTCTCTGGGTGGGATACGTTGGGACGGAGTTCAAATGTAGGCCCGGGGAGTAGGGTTAAAGAAGAGGTTAAAGGACTGTGAAGAGGCTGTGAGGCTGTCCGCCATTATATTACACCTGGTGTGAAGCAGAACTCGTTGCTGAGATGGCAAAAAAATCTGGGTGAAATACATTGGGACGGAGGTCATATGTAAGTGGGGATCTGTGTTTGGAAACCAGGGGAAAAGGGGGAGGGGGTGAGGGGAGGGGGTGGGGAAATTTTAGCTGTTTGGGTGAGATACGTCAGAGGTACGGCTGGGATTCAAGGGTTAAGAGGGTTTTTAGCCGCAAGTGTTTGGACAGGGTGCGATATGATGGAGTTGAGGTATGGCGGGGTTCAAAGGCATTTGGAGCGGTTGGATGTAGTCAAACAAAGAGGAGGTTATGGCGGGGTGTGCCCTATGTTGCGCCTGACGCGTCAGGCGTTTTTGACGCTGGCGTCTGGACGGGGCGTCCAGACGCTTGACGCCCGGTGTCCTCTAACCTGGACGCCCGCTTGACGCTGGTCCGGGCAGGGCAAAACTTTTCCCGGGCAGGGCAAAACTTTTCCCGGGCAGGGGTAAAATAAACCTGCCTAGTAAGGATACGCAGGGGTTAGAATGCAAGAAGTTCACTTTTGTCACCTAAAATAATAAATACTCCATACTTGCGTTCTCCCTCCACACCACCTGCAGAAGGTGTGGAGCCACTACCAGATTGACCGGCGGAACTAGGAGTTGACATGATAACTTAATCGCCTTAACCTAATTTTAGCTAGGAAGGCTTAGTAGCGTGACTGGCGGATTCTAGTGTAGGGTATGCCTGGCAATGTCGAGAGAAACAGATCTGTGAAGTGTCGACCTAGATCTGGTTCTCTAGTTTAGTTGGGGGTCGTCCTGGTTGGGAGTAGTAGATTGGGATGGGTAGAAATGTGTGGGGGGGAATAAATGTGGGTTGCGTTTTTCTAGGTCAAAAACGCAACCCCCGCTTGCCAATTTCATCGCAATTCTGGCCGCGATAATATCGCGCGTCAATTGCGTGCGGGAAAAAAAAAAAATGATTTTCGGGCTGCCCGTTTTTTTTTTCCCGAACGTCCAGCGTCAAACCGATTTGACGCGTCCAGCGTCCGGACGTGACCGTCCGGACGCTGGACGCTGCCCTTTCAGGGCGTCAGGCGCAACATAGGGTGTGCCTTGGGATTTACAGCAGCAGCTGGGAATATGAGTAACAGGGGACTTTTGAGGTGCCTCAAAAGTTTGCCTGGGGGTTCACAGAAGAAGAAGAAGCAGCAGCAGCAGCAGCAGCAGCAGCAGCAGCAGCTGCTGCTGGGGTTTGGGTGCGAGGGTACCACCGGGACTAAGGGTGAGTTGACTTATGAACGGCACAAAGCCGACTCATAACCTGTCTACATTCTAAAGGCTGACATTTTTCACACAGGTGCGAGCGGCGCAAAAGTAGGGAGGTTCAGAGGGGTTTGGCTGGGTCTGAGAGACATCCGTCCGTCCCTCTTCCTTCATTCCCGTCCTACCATCTTCATCCCACACGCTTATCCGAATCCCTCTGCTCCTCTCTCTCTATCCCCCCACAGGGCTGCAGATTCAGAGAGCAATCCCGGTGCCACTCCCTTCAGATGCCTTTGATGATAGTGAGAGTGACTATGAGGACTGTGACAGTAACGGCGGCAACACTGCTCTTAACCACTGCCCTAACTTTCTTATCCTAACACCTGCTCCTCCCTCTCCCTTCGTCTCCCCACCACAGGCCTGCAGATTCAGAGAGCAATCCCAGTGCCGCTCCCCTCAGACGTCTGTGATAGTGACAGTAACGGCAACACTTCTCCTCTCCTATCCCAACCTCCACTGCTCTCCCTCCCCTCGGTCTCTCCTGCCACAGGCCTGCAGATTCAGCGAGCAAGCTCGGTGCCGCTCCCCGCGTCTATGGGGACTGTGACAGTAACGGCAACACTGCTCCTAACCACTGCCCTGACTTCCTTATCCCAACCCCTGCTCCTCCCTCTCCCTTCTTTCTCCTCGCCACACAGGCCTGCAGATTCAGCGAGCAAGCCTGGTGCTGCTCCCTTGAGACGCCTCTGACAGTGTCAGTGACTATGAGGACTGTGGCAGTAACAGCAACATCGCTCTCTCTTTTCCCAACCCCTGCTCCTCCCTCTCCCTTCTTTCTCCTCGCCACACAGGCCTGCAGATTCAGCGAGCAAGCCTGGTGCTGCTCCCTTGAGACGCCTCTGACAGTGTCAGTGACTATGAGGACTGTGGCAGTAACAGCAACATCGCTCTCTCTTTTCCCAACCCCTGCTCCTCCCTCTCCCTTCTTTCTCCTCGCCACACAGGCCTGCAGATTCAGCGAGCAAGCCTGGTGCTGCTCCCTTGAGACGCCTCTGACAGTGTCAGTGACTATGAGGACTGTGGCAGTAACAGCAACATCGCTCTCTCTTTTCCCAACCCCTGCTCCTCCCTCTCCCTTCTTTCTCCTCGCCACACAGGCCTGCAGATTCAGCGAGCAAGCCTGGTGCTGCTCCCTTGAGACGCCTCTGACAGTGTCAGTGACTATGAGGACTGTGGCAGTAACAGCAACATCGCTCTCTCTTTTCCCAACCCCTGCTCCTCCCTCTCCCTTCTTTCTCCTCGCCACACAGGCCTGCAGATTCAGCGAGCAAGCCCGGTGCCTCTCCCTTCAGACGCCTCTGATGAGAGTGACTACGAGGACTGTGACAGTAGCGAAGGGGAAACCAGCAGCAGCAGCAGCAGCAGCAGCAGCAGCAGCAGCAGCAGCAGCAGCAGCAGCAGCAGCAGCAGCAGCAGCAGCAGCAGCAGCAGCAGCAGCAGCAGCAGCAGCAGCAGCAGCAGCGGCAGCAGCGGCAGTGGCGGTAGCAGCGGCCCTTCCAGCACCCCCTCAACTGAATCCGTCCCAAGTGAGAGCTCCCTTCAGATTGCACGCCTCTGATGATAGTGACTGTGATACGAGGAGTCAAAGGGGATGTGTTGGCGAAATTCAGGAGTGCCTCTGATGATATGTTCTCATGATATCCACTTCACGTGCCTATGCTTCACTGTGCAGCACTTAAAGAGGACTATGAGAGGGTCAGTAAGTAAAGCCAACCCCTTCACCTCTTCCTCCCCTCTTTCTCCTATGAGAGGGTCAGTAACAAAGAGGACTCAAGAGGCAATTCTTCCGGCTCTTATCGGCTTTCCAGCACTTCAAACCCAACACTGCGTCATGATATTTTTCAGGTGAAGTCGTAAAAGAGATACAGGCATACCCTCCCTTCTCATCCCACCACCTGGTGAAATGTTGGAGTCACCTTTGTGAATATCTGAAAAGTATAATGTCTCAAAAACGCATGCGCAAGTGATGCATCCCATCCCCCACCACCCATCGCCCATTTTCTGCCACCTTTCGCTGCTGCTCCTTTTCCCCTTATGCCACTGCTTCACTCACCCCTTCCAGCGGTGGAGGGTTATCTGGAGCAGGCTTTACTGGCGACGGGCATGATGCTTACCCACCGCCCAACACCCCCCCCTTCCTCTGCCTAGCGCCTATCATTTCCCCATTCTTCCCCTCCCTGTCTGTCCATTCTACCATTTCCCCATTCTTCCCCTCCCTGTCCGTCCATTCCCCTCCCTTTTCTCTGTCCAGCGGTGGAGGGTTATCTGGAGCAGGCTTTACTGGCGGCGGGCATGATACTTCCTAGCAACTTCGGGGATCTGTTCAAGATCGGGTGGAGCCGTAGCAGCAGGACGGACAAAGGGGTGAGTGGAGTGCGATGCAGTGCAGTGCGGTGCGGGGTGGTGCTGTGCATGCATAGATACTGTAATAGGTATGCTATCTGGCCAAGACGGACAAAGGGGTGAGTGGAGTTTGGTGCGGTGCAGTGCGGTGCAGTAGATAGTGTAACAGGTAAACCTAGCATTCTGGCCAAGATTGGGTGGAGCCGGAGTAGCAGGACGGACAAAGGGGCGAGTGCGGTGCAGCGAGACGAGATGCGGTGAAGTGTGGTGCGGTGCGTTGCAGCTGGTAGTGTGCTGCAGTATAGTAGGTAGTGTAATAGGCAAACTCTGGCCAAGAATGGGAGGTGCAGGAACAGCAGGACGGATAAGGGGTCGAGTGCGGTGCAGTGCAGTGCAGTAGGTAGTGTAATAGGTACGCGAAGCATTCTGAGCAAGATTGGGAGGAGCAGGCACAGGAGCGCCTTAAACATCTAGTCAACCACTCCGTCACTCCTCTCTCCTCCTCCTCCGCTCCCTACCTCTCCCCACTCCTCTCCCCTCCCCAGGTGCATTCAGTGGCAACGGTGGTGTCGGTGAAGCTCGAGCTGCCAGAGGGTCTTTTCCACAAGGGGCAAGGCCAGCAGGAGGAGGAGTGGGCAGGCAGCATTTCATCTCCCTCTCCTCTCCCTCTCCCTTTCCCTCTCCTCTCCCCCCTCAGGTGCATTCAGTGGCAACGGTGGTGTCTGTGAAGCCCGAACTCCCAGAGAGTCCTTTCCAGAAGGGGCAGGCAAGGCCACCCGCAGGAGGAGGAGCAGGAGGAGTGGGTAGGCGGAACGGCCAGGCTTGGCAGTAGCTGTGACTAATGTCCCAACGGCCCTGTCTGCCCCTGCTCTCTCTCCCTCCCCCTCAGGTGCACTCAGTGGCAACTGTTGTGTCTGTGAAACTAGAAATACCAGAGAGCCTCTTTCACAAGGGGCAAGACCGGCAGGAGGAGGAGCGGGAAGGGCAAGCGGTAGCTGACGCCATCAATGCGCATCTGCCCCCCTCCATCCGTGTGTTTGGCGCCGTACCCGTCACCAAGTGAGTGCCTTGTGCTCTCCTCTCCTCTCCTTCGCTTCTCCCACCCACCCGGTCCTCCGCGTTTGTGTTCACGGCAATGAGGTGAGAGAAGCAGCAGCAGCAGCTCATGCCATCACGCCCATCTGCCCCCCTCCATCCGTGTGTTTGGCGCCGTACCCGTCACCAAGTGAGTGCCTTGTGCTCTCCTCTCCTCTCCTTCGCTTCTCCCACCCACCCGGTCCTCCGCGTTTGTGTTCATGGCAATGAGGTGAGAGAAGCAGCAGCAGCAGCTCATGCCATCACGCCCATCTGCCCCCCTCCATCCGTGTGTTTGACGCCGTACCCATCACCAAGTGAGTGCCTTGTGCTCTCCTCTCCTCTCCTTCGCTTCTCCCACCCACCCGGTCCTCCGCGTTTGTGTTCACGGCAATGAGGTGAGAGAAGCAGCAGCAGCAGCTCATGCCATCACGCCCATCTGCCCCCCTGCATCCGTGTGTTTGGCGCCGTACCCGTCACCAAGTGAGTGCCTTGTGCTCTCCTCTCCTCTCCTTCGCTTCTCCCACCCACCCGGTCCTCCGCGTTTGTGTTCACGGCAATGAGGTGAGAGAAGCAGCAGCAGCAGCTCATGCCATCACGCCCATCTGCCCCCCTCCATCCGTGTGTTTGGCGCCGTACCCGTCACCAAGTGAGTGCCTTGTGCTCTCCTCTCCTCTCCTTCGCTTCTCCCACCCACCCGGTCCTCCGCGTTTGTGTTCACGGCAATGAGGTGAGAGAAGCAGCAGCAGCAGCTCATGCCATCACGCTCATCTGCCCCCCTCCATCCCTGTGTTTGGCGCCGTACCCGTCACCAAGTGAGTGCCTTGTGCTCTCCTCTCCTCTCCTTCGCTTCTCCCACCCACCCGGTCCTCCGCGTTTGTGTTCACGGCAATGAGGTGAGAGAAGCAGCAGCAGCAGCTCATGCCATCACGCCCATCTGCCCCCCTCCATCCATCCGTGTGTTTGGCGCCGTACCCCCGTCACCAAGTGAGTGCCTTGTGCTCTCCTCTCCTCTCCTTCGCTTCTCCCACCCACCCGGTCCTCCGCGTTTGTGTTCACGGCAATGAGGTGAGAGAAGCAGCAGCAGCAGCTCATGCCATCACGCCCATCTGCCCCCCTCCATCCATCCGTGTGTTTGGCGCCGTACCCGTCACCAAGTGAGTGCCTTGTGCTCTCCTCTCCTCTCCTTCGCTTCTCCCACCCACCCGGTCCTCCGCGTTTGTGTTCACGGCAATGAGGTGAGAGAAGCAGCAGCAGCAGCTCATGCCATCACGCCCATCTGCCCCCCTCCATCCATGTGTTTGGCGCCGTACCCGTCACCAAGTGAGTGCCTTGTGCTCTCCTCTCCTCTCCTTCGCTTCTCCCACCCACCCGGTCCTCCGCGTTTGTGTTCACGGCAATGAGGTGAGAGAAGCAGCAGCAGCAGCTCATGCCATCACGCCCATCTGCCCCCCTCCATCCGTGTGTTTGGCGCCATACCCGTCACCAAGTGAGTGCCTTGTGCTCTCCTCTCCTCTCCTTCGCTTCTCCCACCCACCCGGTCCTCCGCGTTTGTGTTCACGGCAATGAGGTGAGAGAAGCAGCAGCAGCAGCTCATGCCATCACGCCCATCTGCCCCCCTCCATCCGTGTGTTTGGCGCCGTACCCGTCACCAAGTGAGTGCCTTGTGCTCTCCTCTCCTCTCCTTCGCTTCTCCCACCCACCCGGTCCTCCGCGTTTGTGTTCACGGCAATGAGGTGAGAGAAGCAGCAGCAGCAGCTCATGCCATCACGCCCATCTGCCCCCCTCCATCCGTGTGTTTGGCGCCGTACCCGTCACCAAGTGAGTGCCTTGTGCTCTCCTCTCCTCTCCTTCGCTTCTCCCACCCACCCGGTCCTCCGCGTTTGTGTTCACGGCAATGAGGTGAGAGAAGCAGCAGCAGCAGCTCATGCCATCACGCCCATCTGCCCCCCTCCATCCGTGTGTTTGGCGCCGTACCCGTCACCAAGTGAGTGCCGCTCATTCAGGAGGGTGCAGGAGGAGCAGGAAGGCTTGGCAGTGACCAAGTGAGTACCTTGTTCTCTTCTCACTGTTCCTTCTCTTCTCGCAACCCGCTCAGTCACTCCTGTGTTCACTAGAAGAGGGGCGAGGGCACCAGCAGTAGCAGCAGGAGGAGCAGGAAGGCTTGGCAGTGACCAAGTGGGTGCCTTGTTCTATCTCCCTCTCCTGCTTTGCTGCTGTAGCCTCTAAGGCAGGAGGGTGTGTGTGAGCCGCACCTACTACCACTGCCGTGCTCACCTGCTGTCATGCTCACCTGCTGTCGTGCTCACCTGTGGCCATCTCCCCCTCCATGCAGGAGCTTCTTGGCCAGAAGGGCGTGTGTGAGCCGCACCTACCACTACTTGCAGGAGGAGTGGAGGACTGGAAAAGGGGGTGGGAGAAGAGGGGGGGATGAGACTGAAGTTTCCCCTTTTTTTTCCGTTGTCATGCATCCGACTTCCCTCCCTACAGGAGCTTCTCGGCCAGAAGGGCGTGTGTGAGCCGCACCTACCGCTACTTGATCCCTGCTGACCTGCTGCGTCCGAGGAGCAGCAGCAGTAGAAGGAGATTGAAGATTCCTGATTTTCTCCTTCTTGCTCCCCCTTCTCCCCTCTCTGCAGGAGCTTCTCGGCCAGAAGGGCGTGTGTGAGCCGCACCTACCGCTACTTACTCCCTGCTGATTTGCTGCTGCCTAGGAGCAGCAGGAGAAGGGGGGGGACTGGGAGGGGTGGGGGGGAAGCATGAGGAGGACGAGGAGGAGGAGTTGAGGAGGCGACTGAAGGAGTTTCAGCAGATACTGAACACATTCGAGGTGAGTACTGGGAGGGGAGGGGACTGGGAGGGGAGGGGGAAGGAGGCATGAGGGGGAGGAAGAGGAGGCGACTGAAGGAGTTTCAGAAAATACTCAACACATTCGAGGTGAGTATAACGATTGACTCTGTTTTGAGGCGCCTCAGAACTCGCCTCTATGCAGGAGTCGATTGAAGGAGTTTCAGCAGATACTCAACACATTCGAGGTGACTATAATGAGAGGTGGTGAAGGTGACAAGCACTTTCCACGAATGCAAACTGCTTTTCACAACTACACTATCGAAGCGGCTGTATCATGAGAAGAAGAAGAGGGAAGGGGAGGAAGGGGGGCAGGAAGGCGGGGAGGAAGGGGGGAGGAAGGGGGGGAGGAAAGGGGGGAGGACGGGGGGGAGGAAGCAGCAGGCTATTCTTCTTACCGAGTATCACTATTGGGTTTCCATGTATATTGGTGCGACTTTTGAGAAAGCTCAAAAGTCGCACCAGTATCACTATTGTGTTTCCATGTTCCTCTGCATTTCCATGTTCCTCTGCATTTCCTCCCCCAACCCTCGTCTCCCAACAAGGGCAAGCACGCCTTTCGCAACTACGTGGTGAGGTGGCTGTATCGTGAGACTCATAGGAGGAATGAGGGGAGGAAGGGGAGGAGGAGTGAGAGGAGGCTGATTTTACCCAGGATCAAGATAGTGTTTCCTTCCTTGATCCATTGCATTTCCTCCCCTTGCCATCCCCAGGGCAAGCACGCGTTTCACAACTACACGGTGCGGCGGCTGTATCGCGAGAAGCAGAAGAGGGATTAAGGGGAGGAGGGTGCTTTACTGGCTCTCTCCCATCTGCATTTGCCGTCCCTATCCCTCCTTCCCCGCCAGGGCAAGCACGCGTTCCACAACTACACTGTGCGGCGGCTGTATCGCGAGAAGCAGAAGAGGGAAGGGGGAGAAGGGGAGGAGGAGGGAGACAGAGGGGATGGTGGAGAGAGGGGGAATGGTGGCGACAGGAGGTTGAGGAGCGGAGGGGCATGGGGAAGAGGCAGGGAGAGTGAAAGGGGCGAAGGAAAGGAAGAAGCAAAGGTGATAAGTGGTGGGGCAGAGATGACAGGCGGAGAGTTAAGCGAGAGAGTGGGAGACGGAGCAGTGATGACGTTTGAAAAAGAGGCTGAGAGAGGGGATGAGAAAGAGGCTGAGATGGTTGAGAGGGTTCAAATCGAGGAGGTTGCAAGCGAGATGCGCAGTAGCTCGGGAGACGAACGAGGGGGACGAGAGTGGGAGGGAGTAGATAGGGTCGGAGGTGCAGGGGACCAAGAGGGGGAGGAGGAGGACAGGGCAGAGAGGGCGGAGAGGGCGGAGAGGGCGGGGAGGAAGGCGGTGTGGTTGCATGAGACGGATAAGAGTGACAAGATCAATACGGCACATGCGGATGGTGCAGGGTGTGTAGGGGAGCAGGAGAAGGAGGGGGCGGATACAGCAGGGGGATTGCAGAGGGCGGGAAGGAAGGCGGTGTGGCTTCATGAGACAGATAAGAGCGACAAGATCAGTACGGCACATTTCAGAACCATCGAGACTTGCACGGTGCTGCCGTGGATTGAAGGGGGCGTGTTTGATGGGAGCAGCCTTGCTGGGGGCAGATTAGAAGAGGGTGCGTTTGATGGTAGCAGTGTGGAGGGGAGCAGCAGACTTGAGGAGGGGAGCAGATTGGAGGGAGAAGAGGCGGAAGGAGGGAGGGGTGTGGGACGGCAGGAGCGGCGGAGATTCGTTCGGGTTGTGATTCGAGGAGAGTCGTTCATGCTTCACCAGGTGAGGGGGGGGGGGAAGGGGGGACTGAAGGGGGGGATCTGAGGGGAGTATAGGGACGTGATACGGCAGTAGCGGCCAAATTGGTTTGGGTTGTGATTCGAGGGTAGTCGTTTCAGCTTCACCAGGTGAGGGGTGGAGGGGGGAGGGGAAACTGGGGGCGTGTGATACGGCAAGGTTGAGTTGAGGATGTCCTGTTGGTTGAGTCGAGGGGAGGGTGCATGTTGACTTTTGTGTCGACTCACCACTTCTCAGGAACGAGACACTTTAGTTATTCCACTCCTCCGTGCTCCATGCAACTCACCACTTCTCGTCCTCTCCCCCCGCCCTCTCTTTTCCCTTCTTTTCTCCTCCCCAAACCCCGTGTGAGAAGTCGATTTTTGAGTCGACTCAAAGAAGGAAAGAAAAAAATCTCCTCCCCAAACCCCCTCTCCCCCACCTTTTTTTTGGTGGGAACAGCCTTGGCAGTGCTCCACGGAGCCATCCCTTCTTCCGTGCTGCTGCCCTCCCTCGCCGCCTTGCTCCCCGCTCCCCCCTCCAACACCCTTCTGCCTCTTGCCTCCCCCATGCTGTTGCCCCTGGCCCCTCAGATCCGCAAAATGGTGGGAACAGCCTTAGCAATCCTCCATGGAGCCATCCCCTCGTCCATGCTGCTGCCCTCCCTCGCCCGCCACTCCCGCATCGTGCTGCCCCTCGCTCCACCCCAAGGCCTCCTATTGGCCGACTGCTCCTTCATGCCGTTCCGAGCACCAAAGCTGCCCGGAAACAAATCCTCCTCCTCTGCTGCTGAACTTGAGGTTCCTCAGTCCAGCGCTCCTCTAGAAGCTGAATCTACAGACCGTTTCAAGCAGCAGCAGCAGGAAGCACTAAGGCTATACACGCAGTGGCACTCTGCCTTCTCGCCACTTGGCACATCTCAACCAGCCCTCAGCGTGTCCCCTCTCTCCTCCCCACCTTCCTCCTCTCCCTCCCCGCAATCCTCCTCCCCATCCCCCCCCCCATCGCTCCGCATGTCACGAGCTGTGTGCGAGAGAGTAGAGGAATTTTCCCAAGAGCACGTGTTGCCAGCCATGCTGCAGTGGTTGTATGCTGAGGGGGAACCGTGGAGCGGGTGGGAGGAGAATCTGCTAGCCTATGAGTGGGTATCGGAGGAGGAGGAGAGGGAAGTTGTAGAGGGGTATTCCCAGTGGATGCAAGGCAGGGCAGAGAGGGGCTACTGAGGTCGCTGGAGGGTGGAAGGGGAGCTGTGGAGTGGAGTGGGTGGGAGGAGAATCTGCTGGGCTACCAGTGCGTGTGTGAGGAGGAGGAGAGGGAAGTGGTAGAGGGGCATACCAAGTGAAAGCAGGGCAGGGCTGACAGAGGGGCTACTGTGAGAGTAGAGGCATTCTGCCAGCAGAGAGTGCTGCCAACCATGCTGCAGTGCAGTGGGTGGACGCTGAGGGAGAGCCGTGGAGGGGGTGGGAGGAGTGTGTGGGAGAGCAGAGGCATTCTCCCATCCCAAGGGCACAGACTGCCAGCTATGCTGCAGTGGGTGGATGCTGGGGAGGAACCGTGGAGGGGGTGGGAGGAGTGTGAGAGAGGCTGAGGCATTCTCCCAAGGGCACAGACTGCCAGCCATGCTGCAGTGGGTGGATTCTGGGGGGCAGCCGTGCAGCAGGTGGGAGGAGGATCTGCTGGGCTACCAGTGCGTGTGTGAGGAGGAGCGAGCAATAGTGGACGGGATTATCAAGTGAAGGACTTTTGAGAACTCTCATAAGCGACTCAGATTTAGCGAGTGGGTGTGTGAGGAGGAGTGAGCCATAGTGTTGCCAGCCATAGGAGGAGGTTTATCAAGTGAAGGAGGGGAGGGAAGACAGAGGTTCCTGAGAATGCTGCAGGTGGAGTGAGAGTGTGTAAGGAGGCGCGGGTGGGAGGGAAATCTGCTGGCCTAGAATCTCCTGGAGGGGGTTACTGAGGCTGCTGCAGGTGGACCGAGAGTGTGTAAGGAGGCGCGGTTGGGGAACCTTCTGGCGTACCAGTGGGTATCTGAAGAGGGGGACAGAGCCGTGGTGGGGAGGAGGGGTTTACCAAGTGAAGGAGGGGAGGGAAGACAGGCGCGGGTGGGAGAGAGCCATGGTGGAGGGGTTTACCGGGTGGTAGCAGGGAGGCGCAGAGAGGGGGGTATTGACGCCATTGAAGGGTGGAGTGGAGTGGAGAGGGAATCTGTGTGGAGCAGTGGGGAGGAGAGGAGAAATTGATATGGAGGATACCGAAAGCGAGAATTGTGGTGGATGAGAATTTGCGGGGGGGTGCAGGGCATATGGTAGCAGGCAGAGGGTATTGATTGAAAGTCATTGTGGGTAAGATTATATTGACGTTGCATCACTCTCAACCATTTGCACATCAACTTTTGCATCTGACAGAAGAGGAGATACGTGCGGTGCGTGCTTGCAACTATTTATAAAAATCCACTAAGTCAGCAGCAAGCAAAAGTAAACCAGAGCATTTGGTACTCATTTCCATTATGTACAAAAAGCAAACACGTTGCTTACACCGTGTGATGAGGGGTCGGCTCTGGCAAACCCCTTCTAGAAATTCACTAAAAAGTACTGACATTGTGCCAGTAAGAGGTGGCAGCCTAGCTGAGTGTTGTAACACTAACTTTATTTGCTTTGCTTGCGAGTAAGTAGCAGCTCAGCAAACTGTAATGAGTCTCACATTTTGAGTAGGCTGGAAGTTGCGGAGTAACACAGCATGTCTGCGAAACAGTTTGCTCGCTGAAGTTGCAGGCTTCGTGAACGGAGTTGATATAATTTATTGGCACGGGGATTCGAACCCTGCACTCAGGCTGACGTGCCTCCGCAGGGGCGAATTCGCAAGCGCAGCAACTCGTGGAGAAGCGGCGGAAGCCGTGCGCGGAGTGAGCGGAAGCTGACGCGCGCCCGGCGCAGTAACGAGCGGAGATCGGGGCCGCAGAAGAGCAGACGTTTGCGGAAGAGTGCGCGGAGAAGCGGATCCTCCAGCCTGCGCCGCGCGCGCGGCGGCAGCGTGGCGGGGGGATCTGTGTCGCGGGGAGCCGCGCAACCGGGAAGGACTACCGTGAGAAGCCGCATTACCGCCATGACCCTGAACGCGTGGGGAGCACGACGTGGGTTCGTCGTAAAAGCTAAGATCTTCTCTCCATGTTTGGTTGCCGGCCGTTGGATGGACATCGAGCGACATGTGCCGGAAAAGCTGCCGCGATTGGCGCCTCGATCGATCTAGCGGCTCGATGCTGTTCCTCGTCAACCTCGGATCAGCGCCAGCGCCGCCGTCAGCGTCTCCGTCGCCAGAGGATCTCGCACCGGATTTTACAGCGGATTTCACGGCGGATTTGGCGGCGGCTTCTTCTTGTTCGGCGAGCAGCGAGGATTGGATCATCTCGATGAAGCCTTGACATCGGACGGCTGAGAGCTCTCGCTGAATCTGCAGCAGCTGCAGCTTGCCTTCCAGCGCCGCCATTTCGACCGCGCCGAGCGTGCTGCGGATCGCGTTGGACGGCGTGATGTCGATTCCATTGTTCGGTGGCGCTTGTAAGTGATTTCTAACGCCAATGGCGGTCTGTGAGGCCATTGAAGAGCTATCCAATGTGGACGAAATCAACTGAGCTTCAAGGAACAGTAGTTACGTTTACAGCGCACTTTTGCCAGGTGCAGTAACAGGAACTGAGCTTGAAGGCGACAGCTTGCAGCGTGAGGTACAGCCACAATAAAAAACTGAGTCGTTACGGCACGCTCCCTGGCAGAAACTCCGAATCTCCGATCAATAAAGGAGAAGCAGCTTGGTTGCTAGAATGGTGGACAGAAGAATATGTTCGTCACGTTGCCTTTATGGACTTGTGGGGATGGGGAGAGATTGGGTTGGGAGGGAGGGACACTCACGTTGCCGGGAAATCTCTCCGCGTTAGAAAATCACTCGGCGCCGAAAAACACCCGTGTGAGGTGGGGAGGATCTGGGGGAGACAGACAGCAGCACGCGGACTTTGGCATCCAGCTTGCCGTGGATGCTGGGTTCCGGGAGCGGACACGCTGTCAGGGGCAAGTGCGGCCAGCGGAAAGCGCGAAACGGGCTCTTCGCCTAGGGGGCTGCGCGTTTGGAAGTGAAACCCTTCAAAAGTACAGTTTAATTCGTATGATTTCTTCCTAAACTTCAGGTAATCTAAAGACATACCCCAATCCTTCTTTATACCTTTAATTCTTGCCAAACTCTCTGACGGTGTTGCCACCCAATTGTGGATCCGACTCAATAGGACCATTGGTCCCCAAACAGCCGCGTTCGAGAGCTTCTGCACTACACTGAAGGCCTGTCCAAAAGGGATTGCTGGTTAAGCCCATAATGCCCAGATAACATTCTGAAGTGATTTTTTTTAAGCGAGAATAGAAATACAACTCTAAACTTTCTGAAGTGGTGAAACGAATCTGGCTTGCTTTTGCGGGCATGGGTGAGGAAAGGGGACAAATCACAAAGTCTGATCAGAAACTCAAGGCCAGCCAACAAGATTCCGTTCCGTACTGAATTGCTCTGCCATCGTCGCGCTCTGATCCGATTCGACAAATACAGTACACCCTGTTTCGCGCCACACTGACATTCGCCATATTGACAAGCCGGTTGTACTGACATCAATGCATCCAAATTGGTCCCAGAACATACCATATAAGCACTTTTGCCGCACGAAACCGAACGCAAAAGCACGTTTTCTTTCATGAACCGTTGTCTACCGTTCTCCTCAAGTGCATTTTGGTTGCAAGCACCAGCCCGCTGAATCCAAGCACACGTGCGCACTGTAGCCGGGGCTCCCGATTGTCCAAACATCGCGAAACAGGGTGTACGGTAACTGCAGATCAAACGAAGGTGGAGGCGACCAGTCGCGTCGCGGATTGATTCGGGCTTCATGTTTGAATAGTGCAACATGCCAGGAATCTGGTCGGTGATAGGCTTTGTGGGGGGCGACGGGGTAACGTTATGGTGCATATGTAAATCGACACGTGTCAATCTGCCATGAACGAAAGGTGGCCTTGTCCCGCTCGATGAAGCCCTTGGAAGTAAGTCATCTACGGCTCAGATCAGCTCTACGTGAGTAACGCTTCCGTTTCCGTCAGGTCAGGCTTGTCAAGCTTCTCCGAATGTCAGTTCGCAGGGCATTTATGCGACGCTGCGCGACCGTTGCGGCTGAACCTTACGACATCAGCAGCTCAAGTGAGGCTGGTGACGAATTCGAGGAAGGTGCGTCAACAATCGCCTTTACACGTCAAACGTCATCGGAATCGTAACTGCTAGGGGAAATGAGCACCGCTGATGCCTGCACCATTTGATGACGTTGCGCAAGGAATGGTGTGCAGTGCAGCGAAGCTGATGGAGAGATGAGTTGACGTAGGAGCGCGTGCAGCTGCCTGCCCGCTGCCCGAACAGTTGAATTTGGCCAGATATACACAGTAGAGTGTACAGATGGAACCGGACTTGTCCAGGTTCGTCAAAGATGTAGCTTTTGGCTCAGAAAACTGAACCACATTAGGTGAGTGCCTTCACTCGTTACTTGAAATCACTTTCTGCTACCGCCCCTGGGCAGCATCGTCTTTTCTCTCGAAACTGCTCGCACCTTCCTTCCTGCCCATGTGCGAAGACAAAAAATGCTGTTCTGTACACCCTGATTCTTGCCATTGTGGAATCGGTTATACGTATAAGTCAGTTGTAGAAACTCATCTCACCCAAGAGCGCAAGTCACCTAAAGTTGTAACCCATTTGAAATTATCTATGGCAACTCATTGAGTGTACCAAGAGTAGCATATTGTGCGAAGATCAGCTTTTAAGAGGTACGAGTGATCTTTTCTTTCATCCTTATCATAATTCCCTAGTCAGCTATCCATCAACCAATAGGGTTTCCCTAGTACCGAGGTAGTATGGCTTATGTTGTGCATAGTAAGGATGAAGAGTCTGGCAACCACAAGCTACCATGCTAAACCCAAGCTAACTTACTTCAAACTGAAGAGCATCACATCCAAAAAACCAATCCGATCCTAAACCATTTGTATCGTGGCGCCAGCAGCAGCTGGTGGCGGTGTGGGGCAAGCCAATTGCTAGAAAAACCTGTTAGAATCACTAGCTAGGTGAGGAGTGTCGATTGGGTAAGGGAGGGGGATACAAGACTATCGAGATTGAAATGTTGTACCCTCTAAGGAAAGAACCCTACACAACCTAGAGTGAA